TTTCTCTGTCATATATTGGCCGATTTCAATAATTTGTTCACTGGCTGATTATATTTAGTCTATATTTTGCTGGTATGCCATTACTTATGCGATTCTGAATATCACGAAACGTCTCCATTATAATTAATATGAGCGGAACCCTGCATATACCTAAAGCACGTACCTATTTGAGAATATAATATTGTCATCTCACACATCCTTGTTTCTATGTATCCATTAATAGCCTCTTGAGCTCAAATTCGTGAAAATACTGTATTTTCTTTTTTATTATTGACCATATCATTTAATTTATCATTATCTACTGGCCAGATCAATGATTATAAATCGTTTAACTGAAATAGTCAAGCATATTTAATTAAATCGTAAAATATTTGCATTAACTACCGATAGGGGTGCTGGTAACGCTTTGTTTACATTTCAACATGGCGGTCGTTAATAACAATAGTTATTTATTATTATATTATATTTATAAGTACTTATTAGGTATAAGATTTTTTTAACCAGAAAGTAATTACTTTCCGCACGCTGGTAGAAAAAGTTGTTTTTCGAAGTGAAAATTCCATTTCTTTGTTACCAAATGAGGAAAAAAGTGAGATCATAGGATTTTACGACTAAAAGGTACTCGATTGCTATACGGGTCACGCAAATACCGGTAGCCGTGGAATTCGGAATTTGTTTCACAGGTTAATACTCCACTCTTAAATCACATTGAAATCGTGTGCCAGCTAAAATATTGTGTTTGTTTATTAGTTACTATATTTATATATGGTTGTGGTTAGGTATCGCCTTGAAAATTCGAGGTCTTCTAGTCATTTTATACTACAATGTGTATGTTGGCTCTTGTTCTGGGCTTCGTGTGTCATTTTTTGCCCTCTCCATCTTCGTTTCCTCAGGTTACACCCGTATCCGGATGTATGGACATGTGTATCTACTTTTGTAGTTGCAAACGTGCGATCATTTCGGGCCTGAGGAAGCCAACCAGCAGAAATACGTATCGTTCGGGTCACCTATCATATTTTCTGCTCGAATCCACTTTCCTTCTTTTTCCAGATTTTGCCCATTATTTTCCTATTTTTTGTTAGGTACCTTTCTTCGAATGATACTCTTCTCTTTATATATATATATATATATATGTATATATAATATATTCTTTTCTTTCTTTTTTCTCTCCATCTTCGTTTCCTCAGGTTACACCCATATCAGAATGTATGGGCATGTGTATCTACCTTTGTAGTTGCATATGTGCATTCATTTCGGGCTTGATGAAGCCAGCCAGCAGAAGTACGTATCGCTCGGGTTACCTATCCTATTTTCTGCTCAAATCCAGTTTCCTCCTTTTTGCTGATTTTGCCCATTATTTTCCTATTTTTTATAGTATATACACTACCGCTCAAATATTTTGGGACAGTAACTTTTTTCAAAAGAACTTAAAATAAATACGGCTTATATGACATTGATTGATTATTACTTACCATCAATAATACGACTATTCAAGCTAAAGATGTATAAGAATCAGTGAAACACCCCTTAAAAGGGAATAAATGTAGACATATTTAGAGACGCCGATATTTTTATTAGTTCATTGCAGTCATAAATCGGCCGCTGCTTACTTTTGTTTGTACTACGTATTATGTTCGGCGTAATATGATACATAAACATTCTGGGTATCAATGAAAGTAAAAATTGTACGTATTTTAGTATAAACTACTAGTCCATGTGCTAGGGTCAGATTTTTTCAAAACAATCGAAAATGGTAAAGACGGGTAACGTTTCTCTTGAAAAACGGTGTGCAGTGTGTGCCTTACGTGATGATGTATTACCAATTTGAGCGATTGCTGAAAGGCTGCACTTAGGACGGAACACGGTGTCTCAAATTTTGAAGAAAAAGAGAGAAACAGACAACGTCTGCGCCTGAACTGACACACAGCTTGAATAGAACCAGGGAAAACCCTGTGTCCATGTCCTCGGTGACCTTAGAGGATGTGTAGCAGCACGTCAACCACTCCTGCGACCTATACATAAACGCTGCCGGTTAGCATGGACTCGAAAATAGAAGGATTGGACCATTGACGATTGGAATCGAGTTCTTTGGTCGGATGAATCCAAATTTGAGATGTTCGGATCTCGTCGACGACAGTTTTTGCGCCGCTAACCCCATAAACGCATGGCTCCGCAATGTTTGCAGCCCACTCTTAAACATGGAGGTGGGAGTGTAATGGTTTGGGGATGTTTTGCTGGAAATTGAACAGGAGATTTGGTTCGTATTGAGGGTATAATGCGAAAAGAGCAGTATTTCGAAATACTGAAAAACCATGCTGCTCCCTCAGTACAAAGATTGTTTAGAACAATTTCGAATTTCAGCAAGACAACAATCCTAAACACTCATCTCGACTATGCCGCCATTATTTGGACCAGCAGCAAGAACTTGGTGCAATGAAAATCACGACGTGGCCTTTCCAATCTCCAGATTTGTCTCCTATCGAGGATTTGTGGGATGAATCGGACAGACAGGTGAAGCAACAAGAGCCTACTAGTGCTGCAGACTTGTGGGCTAAACTGCAGGAAGTGTGGGTATCCTTATCACCAACTATTCTTGAAAATTTGATAAGTCGGATGACTCGTGTCTGTAATACAGTTATGGGCTCGTGATGGACATTTCGATGAATCACGAATTAAAAGTAAATTTTGATAGAAATAAGTTAACAACTAATAAAGTTTCAGTGGAAAATATTTTATTTTTCATTTTTTTTTTATTAAATACACTCTATGGTTAGATTTGGTTTGATTTCCCTAAAAAAATCTGCCGTCCTAAATCTTTTGAGCGGTATATATAAAGTAGTAGTCTTTCTCTATATATGTATATACGTCAAATAAAGTATAGTAGGGTGACCAGGTGAGGTAATAGCTTAATTTGTGATATTCTGATATATATAAATATATATATATATATATATATATATATATATATATATATTTCAATAATTTTATTTGTGACATGTTATGCAATTTGAAATTGTTTTAATATAATTACTTTATTTTAATTCCGTAAAGTTGCTAGTTTTTATTGTACAAGTTCCTCATTAAACCAATCCATACTTTTTGTTTATTAAGTATTCTTTGGACACCCTATTTCTACGATATGATCAACCGTGGATCACCAAATCGTTAAACGGTGACGATTTAACGATATGGTCGAATTTAGTTGGTCATTTCATGAAATGCAGCCATTTCGCTGATCACTTCCGATGCAGTGGTGATGATTTCTGAAGACGTGTTGGGCCAAATTCGAAAATATCACTGTTATTACCAAAATAATTGGTACGACGGTCGATGACGGTTGAAGTGGTACATCTGTCGAATTTAAAACGAAATCCTAACTGTACAACGGCCTTAAAACCATCGCATCAACTGGCGGAAATCGAACCACACGAGACAATAGTTCCTTAAGTATGGGCCGCGCATCATTTACAAGCTTGTCAAGTTTAACATTTATCGCATGCGGAGCATAAGGAATCCGCCGCGCGGTGGCTTCAGCAGCTTGCCTACCAAATATGGACAAACGATTCTTCTGCCTCTTTTTAGCCGGTCCAGGGAAACACTCGCAACTGCTATGAATGGATTTTCGCAATATCATACGTAATTGCCAGTGGTGAACGTTTACATGCAGGCGCGATAATAATTGCTCCAATGTCTTATAAAGGTACTAAAAATCGGTCAAAGATCAGTCGTTCGATTTCCAAACCTAGTCTAATCGTATTAGCAAATTTCCCCGAAATAATTATAAAGTCTGGTTTTATTGGTACAAGCTGTTGAAAGGGCTATTTAAAACATGGAGGCATAAAATGGGTACACCTATTTTTGTGGAAAAACTTTTTATTTGACAACAAAGTATGAGAAAACGTGTTTTTTGGGATTCAATAGAAAGTGTTGACAGGAACGAAAAACTTTTCATATAAGACTTTCAGGTATTTATGAGACCGCACGTAAAAAGATCTGACTAATAGCAAAAATGTTATGGCCGCAAAACGAGGCGAAATGCAGGTTTTTTCACTTGTTGGTAATGGGACGATAATTTCACGCAACTACTTCAAATTCTTCAAATCCGTAGGATTCATACTTCTAAATAACAACAACAAAATTAATGTATTTTTTCAAGTAGAAGAGAACATTTATCTTCCGGAATGGTTTGCGATTCATATCGGCAAGGTAAACTAGTGTATTTTGCTATAAAAATCCCGTTGAACTAACCCTGTATATTACTGTATAAACTAGTAGTAATGGCCGGAAAACAGGTGTTTCGAGATAAACAATTAGAAATTCTCAAAAACTACTTGACCAATCTACTCCAATTTTGTTGTGGTTATTTAGGAAATCCTACGAGTTCGAAGAATGTCAAATATCTGCGAGAAACCATCGTCGCATTACCAACAAGTCGAGTTTGCCTCTGTTTTCTGCCATAACTTTTTTGCTATTAGTCGGATAAATACCTAAAAATCTTATATGAAGAGTTTTTTCGTTCCTGCCAACACTTTCGATTGAATCCCAAAAAACACGTTTTCTCAGTCTTTGTTGTCGAATAAAAAGTTTTCCCACAAAAATTGGTATACCCATTTTATGCGACCATGTTTTGAATGCCCCCTTTACCCAACTTGCAGCAATAAAATTAGACTTCACAATTATTTCGCAAACCAGGGCACTTTCGTCTAGTATGATTAGACACATTTTGCACATGTGATTTTTGGCTGTACACCTCTATAGCACCTGAGCCGCATGGTTGCCACAACTTCAAATTTGCTTGAAAGAAGAAAGAATGAACCGCGAAAATGCTGCGTTTTAACGCGTTTTGGGCTACGTCTTGATAATAAACGCTTTCTTACCAAACGTCAAGTGTTTTTAGATATTTATTCTGTTAGAATTTGCACAGCTGCAAAAACAATCAGAACGTTCTGGTAGCTTGGTAGCTACTTTTCCTGTGAAATTTGCACTTTTTTTTTAATTACCCTGTACAGGCACAAAGATGTAATGCTGAATGCTTGACCTGCTTCATGATCGGATCGTCTGAGGCATCTAAGATGCAATTCACCTATGTGATTTATCAGAACAATCTTGTCGAACAAATTTACAAGATAGGGTTGGGGAATTAGGATGTAAGCGGGCTTAAGGAGCATCGGCACTCGTTGTCGATTCCGATCGATATCAGATAATGACAATAATGCAGGTTGCATATACCATCCGAGATCCGAGAGCCACTGATAGTAGTGAAGAATGAAAATTGGTTGTTGCACTGCGATGAAGCAAAAAATGTGCAGCGTGCCGAGCAGTTTGCGCGTTGTAATGTTGTAAACAGGATTTTTTGTCCGAGTAAGGGATCGATAACAAATGATCTTGCTACGTGTACATAATTTACGTTGAGCGTGTTTGAAGCAAGTTTTTTCTTGCGAAAGCGCACATTTATTTCCATAAGAAAGCCGTTCCGCCGTCATACCGGTGACATATAACATTTGTAATGAAATTACGAATCGTGCCTAAAAGGTAGTACCCACTTTTAAATGTTAAAGTACATAAGAGAAAAGAATTTGCCTTTATTGGCACTCCACATGTCATTTAGCAAGTAGAACACAATGAAGCTTATACAAATACAGATAGACTTGTTCAACTATTTGTGGTGATTTTAGATACGATATTAAGTATGTTCGCTTATGCTATGACCAAGCGTGAAGATATGGAGATCTGTCAAGTGCACTTGTGTGGATCTTCATATGAAATGACCTTGCATTTCAAGGTCAAATTTTGGATATCCATTTAACGGTTGAAGACCTCTTGTATTATCATAGAGTTTCGAATTTAGGTTAGTTCACTCGGCGAAACAATCTTACGCCTCTCTGTAGTTCCATTTAGTTATGCTGATTTGTATTTTCATTACAGGTGAGTTCAGGATACCAGTAACTGAGAATGCATCGATATAACGTAAGTGCATCAACGTTTAGAGTAGTATGTGCTTTTTATAGTCATGCTCTAGCAATTATTTCCAAATGGTTTGCAAACGAATTGTCAAAAAATATCACTCAGCTCTAAGGCCCGTATCGTCAGTCGTCCCTACAATCAAGGAGGCCATAAAGGCGCCCTAAAATTGTAGGGACGACTGACGATACGGGCCTTTAGTGTCAAAACAATTCGATTAACCTTTTCCAACTGTCGACAACCGTCAGAAATTCTTTTTCAGAACATGCCTATTAAATCCGGATTTATGAATGTAAGCTTCAAGTTGAAGATGTCAGGATATTTTCTATAATTCCCATTTTGTTAAGGAGCAGTCATACGTTAGGTAATGTAGTTTCCAGTTAGCGACCGACTAACCACAGTTTTTTTATCGGAAAATAAGATATTCAACTTGTTTTGTCTAAAATTGGAGACTGGAGGAAAAAATGGTGATTGTGTAGATTACACCATGAACTGATTTCTAAGTGGCGATTATAACCCAATTTCAGCCGAGGCTATGAAAAATAAGTTCAGAATTCATTTCTGGTGTTGTTTATGTTGCAGAAGATATAACAGCTTCTCTATCATTTCAAAATTATGGATTTTCAACTTTCTAATTTTCAATTCATGAGGTAAATCGTATGCAATTGAATGCGTTTATTCCTATATCCTGCTATAACTCATATTTTCTATTAAAACATCAAACTTCCACATAATAATTTAGATCCCATCATCGCGTCCATGGCTAGTTACTACATTAATCTTGCGACTATATAATGTGCTATGCCTGTTTGAAAACTACTTTTCAAACAGATGTCTTTTCAGGCTTATTAATGATGACATTACTTTTTACATTCCACAAAGTCATGTAATCAAACTCATCAGACGGAATGCACCATTATGACAAATCTGATCAATTCAAATGGGATGTTTGCTGCTTTTGAGGATGGGCGAGTTGATGATATCATCAACTTGAAAACACTCGGTCCCGTTAGTATGATGTAGAATTCCCGATAATGAGTGTGGTATTTCCGGGGAAATTTTTTATTGTCATTGCTTTTTATACAGGGTGACTTTGAAGTTGAGTCATTAATTTTCAGATAATGATTGTAGAAGGAAGATAAACCAAAATATGTGTGTAAAAATAAAAAAAAATTAAAAAAAAAATGTTACCTTGTTTTATAAAGTATCCTCCCGACAAGTATTTCAGTGCGGACCTGTGCGCCCAAAAGCATGTCACAAAAACTGTTCGAAATGATTTCCGTTTTGCTCGACGCACAGCTGGGCGCGTCTTAGCCATGTCTCTTTACAAGCACGCAATAAAATCACTGGTTGATTTCTGATCACTGTACTCATTTCCTCAATTCGAGCACGTAATTCCTCGCGTGTATTAACCGGTGTTTTATACACTAGAGTTTTTAGCCAACCCCACAAACAAAAGTCTAAAGGATTTAAGTCCGGAGACCTTGGCGGCCAAGGTACAAAACCGCCACGGCCGATCCAACGATTATTAAATTGTCTATTTAAAAATTCACGCACATTTCTTGCATAATGGGGTGGTGCCCCATCTTGTAAAAACCACATGTTTTGTCTAATATTTAAAGGCACATCTTCCAGTAAACCAGGCAAATTGTGTTGCAAGAAATCAAAATAATTTTCACCAGTTAAGCGATTTGGTAATTCAAAAGGCCCCACTAAAATTCCATTAACAATTCCCGCCCACAGGTTGATTGGTTCAAATCGCTGTTGAAAATTGGTTTCCCTTATTTCATGGGGATTTTCAATAGCCCAAACGTGAGAATTACGTGAATTAATAATTCCGTTTCTAGTAAAAAGGGCTTCATCACTCACTAAAATTTGATTTAAAAAATTGTCATCATTTTGATGTTTATTTAAAAGCCAATTGCAAAAGTCAACCCTTTGTTCATGATCTTCCGGTTGTAAGGCCTGCACTTTTTGTATGTGAAACGGATAGAATTGATTTTCACGTAGAGTTTTCCAAGTTTTATACTGACTAATCGCCAATTGAGTTGAAATTGGTCGGGTGCTTACTGTTGGATCATCACTTACTAATTCTAAAATTTGTTCTTCTAGTTCTATTTGATCGTGTGGTCTTGGAGCACCGGCATGATCTCCTCTGTGAGGTCTTAAGTCACCTGATTCACGAGCTCTTTGCACTACATTAACAAAGGCACGAGGGGTTGGTTGCACTCGATTGGGAAACCGATCCGCATAGATCCGTGATGCCGCGGCAGCATTTTGTAAAGACTCCCCTCCCCGTAAATAAGAACCATGTCCACAAGTTCAGCATTTTCGTAAACATGTGCCATTTTTGATTTGAGCCTCGCAACAGACACGATTATTCACTTACGCGTTACCGACTACCGACTGATACTGACTGTATACAACTGAAGAAAATAATTGTAAAAAGATCGTTCCAAATTCTTTCGCTTTTTGTTTCCGATGCGATGAACGGATAAGGCGGATTATATCTGTTGTTGCCAAACACGAGAACATAATATCATTATTGAGACAGGGCGGTACTCAAACTTCCAAAGGGCTATAACTTTGTTACTTTAATTTTACCAGAAAAATGGTAAAGGAAAAAAACATTTCTTTTGATCAGATCTACTCACTGTTAAAATAAATGACTCAACTTCGAAGTCACCCTGTATAGTATGGATAAGAACATCAACTTTTAAGTACGAGATCCCACTGCGGTTTTCACCGCGGTGGTGCGAGGCAGTAAATCGACCACAGACGTCCAACGATGGATAACTGTTTCATGCTATTTAGTAATTGGTCAGCATGGTCCAGGCTTGGCCTCAGGTAGGAAAACTAACGAAAGCTGAGCAACTATCCGCTATCCAGATTATAAGGTCTATCGAAACAAGACTGACAATGCGCACTATAATACAGTTCCAACAGAGCTTACTGTTTTTACTCTCACATTGATCGATTCTGGTATTAGATGGCACTTTGTGCTCTCTTATTTTAATTGTAGTGAAGTCTCGCAATAACGTACTACTATTATTGCCAGCTTTGACCAGGTTTTTTCTGGGAGGGTTTATCATCGTACAGACGTGTTTTTGCCACATAGTGACCATGTTTCTTCGAAAAACGTTATACGTTTGATGAATGTTAGGTTGCTTTAGCATGTCTAATGTATTGGTGTAAAGTCGCTTTTAAAGAACTATTTTGTATTATCTGAGCTGTTACTCGATATAGTCAGCTAGATGTCGATTGTGACATTGCGCAACAAAAAAATAAATAAATACCAAGGGGACTAATTAAATTTCAGTACGATGTCGATCGCAGTATCATAGGCGGCGGCGTGCTTGCAGTGCAAAATCGAAGACAAAGTCGGAAGGGTACTTGATGCAGCCTGTAACACTATTTTCACCAAAAGCAGCCCGTCGGAATTTCGACTGCAACCCGATTCGGTCTCGTTTTGAGGTTGTGAAAAAGTCACCAAGTATGTACTTACTAGTGAGAAAGCGTAATATAAATTGGTTATTCTCATTCTGGAAAACCTTTACTGACAGAAAAGCATATGTAGTATTTCACAAATAAAATCTAGCAAGACCAATCAATCACCATATGTGGTATTTTTGTAATTACCAAAAACTTGCAACACATGACAAATATAGTGATCTATGGAAACTAACACCTTGTACGCAAATACAAGCATATTTCTTGAATCTTATGATCTCTCGTATACTATTAACTTCCATGTCACATTTCTGCACAACTGTAGTGTTCCTGGAAGGTTTTCAACACTGATTCTCCAACGGAATCACTTCAAGGAACACGGAAGTACTTTTATTGCATTACAAATGAGGAATTTTTTGAAGATACGGTCAGAACGTGTTTTTTTTTTCAAAGCTTAATTTTAATTTTTTTCTGATCGCCGTACATTATTATTTACCTAAGTGTCGATTAAAGTGTTCTGAAGTAAGTCTCGTCCTATGTGAATACTATTTCAAAATGTGTCGTAAAGACACAAAATACCGGAAATAATAATTTACTCGAATCAACCTGTTTGTTTTTTCGATGTTTTCGACAAAGTTTAAGATATTTCTAAAATGGTTGGAATTATTGAGATGGGATAATTACATTTAATGTGTTTATCATTTTGACTGAGATACAAAATTTAATAAGCAAGTTGGTATCAACTTCTTACAAACTTTTATTCGGATTGCTCCCCCATCGGTTTTACAAAAACTACCAATTTTCGTAATTATAAGGCATACTTTCCGAGTAATCCATG